CTGAGAAAGGGAGGAAAAAAGGGATTACAAAATGACACCATTTGGTGATGGTTTCCAAAACATGGACACACAGCAAAACAACAAATTTTACAATTTAATTATGTATGCTTTATTGTATATCAACAATACCTCAATAAAGCTGTTTTCAAAATCCCTCTCATTCTGCTTGCACTGGAAATAAAATACACACAATAATCAAATTCTGTTTAAAAAATAGCACTTAAAAGAGAGACATACATGACTATCCTTTTGTAAATTTCCACATCATCTATTTTTATCAGACCAACTCCTTTTAAAAAATTACTGTTAGTCTGATTGTCTTTATCTAATGTTACAAAGTACAATGGATGGCTGCAGGAGTTAAAAATAATTGTTACTTTTGTAAACAAAAATGCTATGGAGCAGAGCCCCACTGGAGGCTGAAACGGGAAGATCACAAGTTCAAGGCCAGTTTCAGAAATTTAGGGAGGCCCTAAGCAACTTAGCAAGAACCTTTCTCAAAATAAGAAATAGAAAGGGCTACAGATGCAGCTCAATTGCAAACACCCCTGGGTTAAATCCCCAGGACCAAAAAAAAAAAATAAAATAAAAGCTATGAACAATTATTCTTTAGTCATTCATCTAATGTTTCTACCAGTTACTGCTGAAGACTACTGTATCAAGAAAAAATTTTTTAAAGTATAAGAGTTCCCCAAAATTCCCTCAATTCACATCAATTGTCAAATTCTATCCTATTTTATTATTTTCTCCTATTGTCCTATTCATGCCCTGTATATATGCCTATCATAGCACTTAAAATACTTCATTACACTTACTAGTTTATTTTTACCTTATAAGAATTAAACATATAAAATAATTCTTTAAGGTAAAAGTCATGTTTGAATAATTTTTCTATAGCCTCTGCCCCATAGCATTTTTGTTTACAAAAGTAACAATTATTTTTAACTCCTGTAGCCATCCACTATACTTTGTAACATTAGATAAAGCCACTGGTAAAAAGTGGGAAAAAGTCTGTGGTCTAGTTAACAATAAAAGCACCAGGGTCAATATCCTAGTTTTGATATTATACTACATTTATATAAGACAGCCCCATTGGGGGAAGCTGGGCCAAGAACAGACCTGTGTACACTATTTTTGCAACTTCCCTGTGAGCCTGCACTTATTTTAAATAAAATTTTGTCTGTCTTTTGTTTTGGTGCTGGGGATCAAATCTAGAACCTTATGCATGCTAAGCACATGCTCTACCACAGTTATGTCACCAGCCTAAAGTTTCTTCAAATCCTATGAAAATGGCAAAATCTCAAAAAGTACATGGTCTATTAGATAGGTTCACACAGTTGCCAACCTTTTTAGAAAGAAGAGGAAGCTAAGCACAGTGACTTACATCTGTAATTCCAGCTACTTGGGAGACAGAAGCAGAAGGATGACCCTAGTGCAGGAATTCCAGATCAATCTGAGCAATACAACAAGACCACAACTCAGAAGAAGAAAAGGAGGAAGGAATAGGAGGAGGAGGAGGAGGAGGGGAAGAGAAAGGGGGAAGGAAAAAGAAGAGGAGCAACTAGCACTACTGGATTTTAAGTCATCATAAATCCATAGAAGTAAAAAGAGTATGGTAATGAAAAGATTAACAAGCCAACAGATTAGGGGAGAGCGAGCTCAGAAACAGACACACAATATAAGAACTTCATATATGACTGGTGTCAGAAGACAATGTTAAGAACACTGGCTTGCTTACCAGTGTAAGCAAGAAAAGGCGTTGAGTTCCTATCACATTTGAAATAAAGGCAGAATTCAAATGAAATACAGACCTACAAGTGAAGGGTAAAACTAAGAGCCATTATAAAAGAAAATGTGAAGAACACCGTGGTAACTTTGAGACAGTGAAGGAGTTCTTAAGACTCATGAAGCACACACCATAAAGTAAAAAATTTATGAATTTGCATTAAAATTAAGAACTCTGGTTCAACAAAGGACAGACCAGAAAAGTTAACAGTTGAGTGACAAACTAGGAACACCTGTCTGCAGTGACTAACTGGAGAATCAATACCCACAGAGCATACAAGGAACCCCTACAAACTGTCATTTTGAGAGCAAAGTAGCAATGAGATATGTACCCACTTTATAGTCAATTCCATACTAAGCACAATCTCAGAAAAACTCTTGCACAAGAAAAGGATGGGACATGATATTCATCAGGGTTGTGACAGCAAGGAGCTGGAAGTTATGGAAAAGGTCTGAAAAGTAAAATGTCTCAGATACTTTGGAATTCAGTGTTAACATCACAAACGGTGAAGCAGATATACATATAGCAGTATGAAGAGATCCTGAAAAAGGATACTGAGTTAAAACGTTAAGAAACAGAACAAGATCTCTGGTATAATGCGGATCAAGTAAACTACACACCCATGCACAACAGTGCTAGCTACCTTACAGAACACCTAATATGGCTGCCTACAGGAATTGTGCAGGATGGGAGAAATGGGGGTGAAAATACGGAGGGAGAATAAAATAAAAAACAAAACCTTTACTGAGTCAATCATGAATATGATGAGTCATCAATCCAGTAGGATTATCTCAATTTTCTGCGTCAGAGGTCCATAAAAGGAAAAAGCCAGCAATGTACATCAAAGTATTCTAGAGACTTACAAAGCATTATTCAAATGTAAGTTGCTACCTGATATCAGAGGGCTTATCTTCTTTTTAAGTGACAAAACTGAGGTTCAGAGAAGTGAAGTATCTTGCCCAAGGACACCTACCTAATATGAGGTAAAACCAAAGGAATCATTCTTAATGACTTTCTCTTTCTCACTCCATTTACAGTTCATCAGCAGGGCATGCAGGGCAACCTTCAAAACACACCCCAAATCTAACTACCTATTCTAAGTCACCATCATCTTTTATCTCAACTACTCAGTCATCTCCTAACTGGATCTGCTGCTTCCACCTTTGCTCCTCAATAATGCATTTTCTGAGTCAGGGCCTCACTAATTTGCCAAGATTGGCCTTGAACTTGCAATCCTCCTGCCTCAGATCCCACATTGCTGAGATGACAAGCTATTACAGGCACATGCCACCATGCCGGCTATTGATTTATATAATATCTGTTGATTTATGTAGTAGTCCATCTCCTGCACTAGAACATAAGCTCCTGTCAGTATCAGTCACCATGGCACCTGCAGAACCCAGATAATGCTCAGCATGTAAAAGATACACAAAAGTAAATATTTCTTGAGAATAACAATTAAACTCTGACCTGGCCATGATCATGCTCTTTCTACTACATCATGCTGCTTCTCAGGAAAAGGATCAATATGTCTACAGTTTGTCATTTTCCCATAACAGATTAAAAAGTCCAGCTTTACATACTTCTTCTTTATCACCTGATAAAGCTCAATAAATGCTACTATGGGAAAATAAATGAGTGAAAAGTAACCATAAATAGAAGTCAATCCGAAAAGAGAGTTGATGATCATGGAGACACTACTAATATGACCATTCAGTGGTCAATCTGACTTCTTATGTGCCTACAGGCCAAGCCATGGTTACAAGTTTTGAAGGAAATAATCAGATGTGAGCCCTGGCTTCAAAAAGCTAATATGTATCTAACTATCAAAATGCAAATATGAATAAATACCTATGAAAAAAGAGATAATTAAAGAGATATTGGATTTCAAGGTGAGGGGAACTGCTTTCGATTATGGAATTAACAGAACCTGTGAAGGAGGTGGCAGTCGAACTGGTTAAACTGAAACAGATGAAAGCCTATGAACTTCTGAAAGACAAGAACTACAATTCTACTCATCCTGGTGTCTTTAATACCTCACAAAACATTTGGAACCTAAAGGCATTTGATAAATGTCTAACAAACTTGGGGAGGGCCAAAGTATTCTTCCAAAGGAAAAGGTAATAAAATACAGAGACAAGAGAATGCAGGATTTATATGAGCCACAAAAAGTCCTGAGGACTGGCTACAAAAAGGGGTCATGAAAGAAAATGCAAACAAGGTTCATGAAAAAGAATAGACAAAACAAACAAAAAAAAAGTGTAAGGAAAGTGGGGTAGGCCTAGAACATGAACTACAGAAAAAGGTGTTGTCATTCATGTATTCAGTGTAAATTGTGTGCCTTCTCCTAGAATACACAGGAACATCAGGAAGATGGAAAATTTAAGTGTAGATGGAAGTATAACTTCGATTTTCAACAATGCTTTGCAAAGATAAAAAGTAGTGCAAAAGAGAGAGAGAGAGAGAGAGAGAGAGAGAGAGAGAGATATTAATAAGTTCATACTTTTCCTTAATAGCCAACCTTGCTCTTTACAAAGACTGAACCACCGAGTAAATGCATAGGAGACATTATAATCTCCCATTATTAAAATGATGACCCAGAAGAAATAAACTATAAACTAAACATTTTAAGGGGGAAATAAAAGAGCTTGTGGCATGTAGTTACTCAATACTTCATATTCAGTTCTTTAAATTTTCCTCAAGAGTGGTGAAGACTGGGGCTGGGGTGGTGGCTCCGTGGTAGAGCGCCTGCCTAGCATGTGTGAGGCACTGGGTTCGATTCTCAGCACCACATATAAATAAATAAAATAAGGGTCCATTGGCAACTAAAAAATATTTTTTTAAAAAAGTGAAGACTTTAATCTAAATCCTATCCAATCACAATTTCATGAACTGACATTCGACAACGATCTAAGGAATGTGATGGGGCAAGGAGAAAGAAATTTAAAACACTGAAAATCCATCCAAATGATGTTATGTACCAAAAATGATCATCAGGATGACAGCAACCACGTGATCTCCGGAGACCTTCACCAGGTTCAACAGAAACCAGGTCTCACTGGATGGGGCTTTCTGAACCTAGGCCACCGAGGGCTCGCTGAGCAGGCGGGCCGGCTGGCGGGGCGGCCGGTGCCAGGAAAGCCCCGCCGCGTTTCCTCGGGAGCCCACCGCAGGACCCCCGGCTCCGCGGGGACGGGGCGCGAGGGCCACTCACCGCTTGTCGATGGCGTCGATGTTTGAATGGAGGAGCCACAGCTCCTCCGTGTTGTCCTGCCGCGAGGACAGGATGAGGTGGTGGCCCGTCAGACACAGGGTCCCCTCGACCGCCGGATAGAAGGGCCGGTGCAGCACCACGTTGTCCACCCGCGGGGTCTTAATCAGCTCCGCAAACTCCATGTTGCCCCAGCGGCCGGAGCCGGGCGCCCGCCGAGCCCAGGGCCTGGAGGCGGCTGCCCCGCCGCAGGGCTGGAGAGAAGGACCGGCGCAGGGCTGGCCGTCGGGGCGGGGTCCGGGGCGGGGTCCGGGGCGGGGAGGCCGCGCCCCGCCCCAGGAGCGGTGGGCGCGGCGAGGCCTACGGGCTCCGCGCTGGCCGCGGAAAGCCCGGGCCGCAGCCAGGCCAAGCCCTCCCGCACTTCTCCGTCACCCAGGCCCGGGGCACGGCCACAGGGAGCGCTGCCGCCACCCAGCCACCCAACTTAGCCGCCGCCGGGGCTGAGGACAGAAGGAGAAGGCCGCTTTGGGACCAGCTTCCTAGCGAGTGCCGCTAGGGACTCCTGGCGGAAGCAGCTACTCGTAGCGGGAGCCTACGGCGACTCCGGGCGGAAGTAGCGGAGGTCAGAACTCGGAAGACTTAGGGGTGAGAACCGGAAAAATGGTCCTCACCTAGGTCCGGTAGAAACGCCTCCGGAAACACAGCCAGACCTGAAGATTTGCGTTCCTACGCGGGAAAAGATTTTCTTTGCTCTCCTGCCTTCCCGCCACGTTCCTCGTCCTCTGTGTGCGTTCCTTAAGAGAAGAGGCCTGGGAAGATGGGCCTACGACTAGAGGTTCTGTCCCGCTTCCCTCCACTTGCATAGTACCCCCTCAAGGGCTCCTCGGAGCGTTGGGCTGCCGAAGACTGTGACGAAGCCCGTGCATTCGCCGTGAGGATGTCTAGTGGACGGTCCGGCACCGCCGGGGCCGCGGAGAAGCAGCCGCCGCAGCCCCCGAGCTCCGCGCACGGTGATGACCGCGAACAAGAAGAGGCATACAGATAGCTGTGAGAGGGACCTAGGTGTGGGTGCCTGCCTGAGGCCACCTGGTCATTCTGCGCGGAGCCCCGACTCCCATCTAGAGCTACGAAATGCAAGGCATTGGTCGCCACCCATGGCCTCTCCGCTAGGTGCAATCGAGCTGAACTGCAGCTGGACACCTAAATCATGCCAGCGAATTAAATTATGTAATTTATTCTCGCTTGTTCTCCTCCCTCTCCCTTTAAACCGACTTGTTATTCTAAAATGGAAAGTATATTTTGAGTCCTTGTCTGCTTCTACTCTATAGCCTTTGAAGCCTCACCATGTAGTCCTAGGAACAGTGAGTTGGCCAAAGTCTCAAAGAGTATTCAAAGATAACATGACCTCATCTGCTTACCCAACACTTGTCCCTGCTTTAGTCCTTCCTATAATGTTCTCAAAGCTAAGCACTGTATAACACAGTTACTCTTGAGTGTCCAATTTAAATTATTTCTCTAAGAAAGAAAAGAACCAACAGAGAAGGGGTGGTGAGGGAAATTATTTAGGAAGGTATTTTTTTTAAACTTGGTCCTTCATAACAATTACCAGTTGTGAAAGGGAGAATTTCTTTCAGAATAAAGAATCTGGGAGCCAGGTCTGGTGGCCCACTCTGGTAATGCGAGCAGCTAGAGAGACTGTCTCAAAATAAAGAAGGGTTGGGAATGTGGCTCAGAGGTTAAGTGCCCCTGGGTTCAATCCCCAATATAATTAATAAATAAATAATAAAAATTAGGGAAAGTTTTACAGAAAGAGTATCATTTGGAAGTAAGAACTTGAAGGATGAGTAGAATTGACTCTCTTGAATATGGGCTTTTAGTTTTCCTGAACATAGCTTATGAAAATAGCATGATGCCTTTAAGTTAAAAAATGTTTCAAATTCTACAAAGCCGTAACTCTTTTGTCCATGAGAGAGAATTGTCAATATCTGCTGAGCTATTACATTAAAACACCAGAAGCTATTAGAAAATCACACCTACCGTGAGTTGAAGCTCAAAGCATGGAAAGCCTTTGAGTGCTGAGGAAAACAAAAATTCAGCGGTTAATAGAGGATGAGCAGAGAATGGAGGGCACTTTACCATGTCAACAGCAGATGGCAGTGGACTCAACTGTAATGGAATAGGTCGCATTCTATCAAAATAACACAACCAAACTGTGGTCAAATACTTATCCAAGCTGCCTGGGCACAAGGGTCTTGGAAGATTCTGATAACCCAAAAAAGAATATGTCACTTATATTTCACATAAAGAACTTAATGCCTTATAATCATCACCATTCTGTGAGATATAATGGTATCGATATATAATCATCAAAAAGTAATTTTATCAAATAATCAACTAACCTTTATTAAGTGCCCGTTAGGGTTACTTCAGGGAATGGAAACAATAGATGTGACACGAACCTTGTCTTTGAGGAGTTATAGGTAATTTGGAAAGACTAACACTCCCAAGAGATAGGGAACAAAAGAAGTGCAAGCACTTGAAATGCCCATTTACTCTCCTGGCTTTGTGTTTTCCTGCCAGGTCTTGCATAGTTTGTAGAAACCGAGGCCATTTGAAGGTAGTTTGAAGAAAGGTTGACAATTTCCAAGAGTCACAGAAGTCTAAGGTGGGGAAGACACTGCCTGGGTGTTCCGTTGAAGAGCAGCTGTCCTCTGCCTGCTTTGCCTTGTATTGACGGGGGCAGCTGTAACACACTTGACAAACTCAGGCCAGGTCTTTCTTGTACCCACTCCTACACCTCACAAGCAATTCGGTCACCAAGTGGTTGATTCTGTCTTCTAATATGTCTTGAATTCTTCCCATTCTCTCCAAGTCCAAGGCCACTAGCTTAGTTCAGGCCACCACCATTTCTCACCTCCAAAACCAAGTGGTGAGGCAGAACACCAGGGCACTGCTTCTCTAGTCCAAGGCCCAGACCCTTGCTGACCCACCAGTTTAAATTACTTAATTTGCACAGATTCTGCCTGTTAAGATCCTGAACTGTGGGTATTGGGAGAAGACAGCCTTTCTTAACTAAGCAACGCAGGGCTAAAGTGTCATTACCCTCAGCAAAAAGAGGAAAGTCGTAGGGACAAAGATAGGATCCGTGGGTCTGTGTTCAGATACTACACTCTCATAGCTGCACTCCAATGTCTGGCTCTTGCGTTTCAACCACTGAATCACTTCATTTTGTGACACTAAGCAAAAGAATGGTGTCCTGACACCTCAGAAGGAAGTGACAAAGTGGAAGGAAGAGGAACTGTTGGCACCACTACATAAAAACACCCCAAACTCAGTTTCTTAGAACAACATCCTAAGCTGGCAGAGAGAACTGGAATGGGAGAGGATGGGAACTGGCCAGACATCTCTGTTTCTCCACTCCCTCTCGCTCCTGTGGGCCTCTCCCTGTGGTCTCATTGGAAGCTGTTTGACATTCCTGCTGATGTGGCAGCCTCGGGACAGTTAGGATGTGTTCATGGCAGAAGAAGGTGTCAAAAGAGTATTCCCCAGAGCAAAGTGGAAGCTGTATTACCTTTCATGACCTAGACTGGGATGTCACATGATGTCCCTTCCACTGTCTTCCATTGATATAAACAGTCCTAAAACCTCACTCAATTTCAAGAGGATATCTCTCAGAGGAGCAGTGTCTAAGAAGTTGCACTGCAGGCCCATCCAGAGGGGGAAACAAGCAGGTGAGAATACAGCTTCCCTGCACACCCTGGGAAGAGGAGCAGGCAGAATGCTGGGAAGTCAGCACACTGTTTCAGCAAAGTGTTTTCTGCTCATGGCCATAATGAAGTAAGAACATGCAATTACATATAATTGGATATGATTAAAATAAAGAGACACATCTAAAATAAAGGCCTAATTAAGAAGTAGGAAAATTAACTAGGTGGGAATGTCAACAATGCTAATTCAGAGATTACTGTTGGGGTTTATTGTTCTGCCATGGAACCTAAATCAGGATCAGCATCCAATGAAGTGGTAGAGCGACCCCAGTCTGCTCTCAGCTCTCAGTCACACCTCCCTAGCTTCACACGTCTTCTTTCCCACACCGTTTAAGTGAAGCTCTGATATAATTCTGAATGTGACATGTGCATTTTCCCTCTCCCCTTAAGACTGCCATACCCCTTGCAACTAACCCTCCCTTACTTCCCCTTTGGCTTTTTTCCACTGTCCTTTACTCCCCCCACCCCTTTTCCTGACATGACTACTTTGAGAGGACGGAACTACAAGCACCACCCACAGGTGACTAAGTTATCACAGGAGACAAGCACACCTTCCCAGTGAGGCACCTGGTGGTCCTCACTGCAGTCTAGCGCAGTGAAGCCCAAGCCTTCTGAGCTCCTGAAGTGACACAATGCGGGGGGGCACTTCCCCTGGGCAGGGCTCATGCCCAGACCCTGAACTCAGATCTGAGCACGAGGGCATCATACTTACCCACAGAGCGGGGTATTCTCAAGCAGTGGCCTTGGACTCCACTAAGTGTTCAATGTCATGGACAACAAAAACAACATTTAAAAAGGCAGGGAGCGCTGGGCATGTGGGGTACACCTGGAGTCCTAGCACTGGGAAGGTGAGAGAATCACTGGAGCCCAGGAGTTTGAGGCCAGCTCAGGCAACTTAAGGGGACGATATCTCAAAAAACAACCCCCCCCAAAAAAATGGCAAAAACAAGACATGAAACGGCAACACTGTTGATCTGAAAGAAATGCTACAGAAGACATTTGGGGAGTATGAACAGGGACTGCATACCAGGTGATTTCCTTGGGTCAGAGCTGATTTCCTTACATAGGGTAATGATAACATGATTATGTAGGAAAATGTCCTTTTTCTCCTGAGTTACCTGTTGAGATATTTGAAGAGGAACTGTCACCACATCTGCAGCTTATTTCTAATTGTTTCTGAAAAAAATATGTATACCTATATTTACTATGTGCATGTGTGAGGTATGTACGTATGTGTACACACACATGCGCTATTTACATGGTGAAAGAACAAAATAACCGATTATTGACAATTGATGATCTACATGAAGGGTTTAAAATGTTTATTGTATTATTCTTTCAACTTAGTACAACTATTTTTAAGTTAAAAATCTAGAAATCGAAAATCAAAAAACCTCCTACTAAATTTTGACACACTGCAATGTAATGAACATTAGTGAAAGCTCTTCACATGGAGTTGTGGGTTAGCATCTCACATGGTCTGGAGTGATCTGGACCCACGATTCCATTTTATAGGGTC